GGAGTCCGCAGTTTGAGAATCACATCTGGAAGCATTTGGGTGAGTAGGCAAGCTAGTCTATGTCTATTTACATATTTACATGCATATGCGTAAGTGCATATCTTTGTAAATATGTACATACATACTTATATTGTTACCTTAATATAGCAAGACCCTCAACTATTCTCTTTTCCAACTTATATAATTAAAAAAAAAAAATCAACTGACCACTATTGGCTTCTGTTTTTAATAAAATCCATTCTTCTTAAGAGATTTTCTTTTTGCTTTATATTATTCACGTTTTTTCAATATCAAACAATCAATATGTATAGACACGAGCAGAATGACAAAATGTATAACGAATACGAGAGAATGGGGCTATGTGCTGGTAATTGCTGAAAACTCGTTTGAGGCTTTTCAAAATCTAATAAACTATTTACATAAAAAATGTATTTGAATTAAGTTTTTCAATGGGCGGATTCCATAAGTATTGCTTAAAATATGTATTTATTAGATGAAAAATTATACATAAAACGCTTAGCTTTGTATGCATGTACCAAAAAATTAGCTCCACTTTTGCAATCATATACATATGTATGTATGTATATATATATGTATACTGTCTGTTATTACTTTCTTCTTGCTTTCACTCATTTTATTTATTTTGTTAAATTCAATTCAAAGCAGACAAAAATATATATGTATGTGGAAACATTAGAGTGGTCCAAAAATGTACGTGAAAAAATAAGGTCGGATTTTTAATGCCGCCACCCCCTAGGATTATTTTATACCGAAAAAAGTATAACCCTATTTTTTTATTTTGAAAAAAAAAAAAATTAAAAAAATTTAGGGAGTGCTCAAAGCGCTCAAAGTTTTTCATGTATTTTATATGGGAAAAAAACAGCTTTTCGTTGAAATAATGTAGAATTCTTGAAAATCACTATTTTTCACAATTGTTTCTTTAACCATTTTTTCATGGCAGCTATATTTTATAGGTCCACCAAAATCCCTAGAAAATGCAATGGGGCGACGAATAAAAAATTGTTTGTAATAAAAAGTGGCTAAAGAAACAATTGGGTATTATTATTGGGAATCTCCTGAAGAAAACCACAGATTTTCAATCGAAAAATATTGATTTTCAAGAATTTTATACCCCCCTATAAAAAACATGGAAAACTTTGAGCACTGCCTAAATATCTTTTGATTTCAAAATATTTGGGTATATTTTTTTCGGTATACGTAGAACAATTCGAGGGGGTGGCGGCATTAAAATTCGGACTTTACTGTTTTTGGAACACTCTAATGTACATATTTTATATAAATGAACTTGCACTTGTTTATTCCATTTTTTTCTACGGAAAGAGATTATTACTGGCCATACGAGTATCTATTATTTGTCATTTGCATCCATTATAATTGTTTAAATCAAAATAAAATGGTAAAGTTTTAGATGAAATCTCTCTACTTCTTTCTGAATACGTACTCTGCATCCTTTCTTTCGTAGAGCTTTTTTGTTTAGGAGTATGTGTGTATGTAAACTATTGCAGACTTTTTTTTCAGAAAATTAAAATTGTGGCCATGCTTTCGGAAATATTAGGGCAGCAAATGGGAACTTTCAAAAATTCCATTCAAATTAAAATGTAAGCCCTATTTATGTACATATATGTATGAGTTCTTTCCGTACAACTTGCTACGCATCCGAATTTTAAATATGATTCGTTGATTTGTCGATAAAAATATATTTAGTTGAAGTAATTAAACTATTTTGAAGGTGTGCGATCAAGATGTAAAGCCATTTATAAAGAGTACTTCTCAAATGTTTTCAAATGTATGTACATATTTTTTTGCTTAAAATGCTGCTTTAATTATACATAATTCCTTATGCCGTGCTTTTCAGCAATTTTTCATTTTTTTTTTGTTTATAATTCGTAATACCAAAACAACTTTCAAAGTACGGGTACATACTAGTTGCATAGAATATAAAGAAACTAAAGTTTGCCAACATCTCTACTCCCAGCGTAGTGCATTCACCATTCTAATTTAAAAAAGGAATCCGAAAAATTTCAAATTGGGATCTTTTTGGCTCATATATTCGCAGGAATCTACTACCAAGTTTCCTCGTTTCGTTCGCCCCTTTCGCAAGCTAGTGCATATGGGGCTTCATGCATAGAAATGAGCTCAAGCTCAGACTCAATATTTGCACTGAAACAGTAAACTCAAGCTCAATAATTTGTACTGAAAATCGAGTCGGAGCTGAAGCTGGCGTTTTATGCATGCATTGCATTGCCTTACTTGTTAGCCTATTTCGTGATTAAATTTAACTTAGTTTGTTGGTTTTGTGTTTTTACCATTCGTTCTTTCCGTGTTTATTTCTGAAATTCACAAATTGTGTATAATCATACCTCAGAATTCATTTAGGGAACCCCAATAAATTTTCTAATTTTTCACGTTATAAAATATATATATACTTACATATGCATGTATGTATCTATGTATGTATGTAGTATGTACATTATGTTTAGTTTTCAAATGAATACTTGCACTGTAGCTCAGGGGTCTATTAATTAAAAATCAATTTAGCTGGCGCGTAAAGCGCAAATAACCAGCACATATATTGTAAATATTTGCCCGTATGCATGTACATACATACATACATATGTATGTATGTGTTGGCTGCTCTTTATTGAATGGTGCATACATATACTGCATCCCGTTTACATTCCATTTATCAAAATTTTTCAAATCATGCACTTTTAATTAAATACATCACTCGCAGGCGTACAAAGTTTTATATGAAAACTAAACATGGGTGATATTTACTTTTAAACAAATCATCAATAAAGGCTGCGATAATGGGTTTTGAATTTGAATTTGAATTGGAATTTCGCCCAAAATGTAATGCCTGAGCCAAAAATAAAGAAGTATACATACAACATTTTTATGGCAATACAAATTTTGGTTCGAAATAGTCCTTCATTTCAACTGAATAGATTTAATTTAATTTGTTACTTTTTTATATTTTTTAAATAATATGGCTTCTATGGTTGAGGCGTGAGAGTAAACGGGTTAGATGACTGCGTAGGGTGCTACGGGGCGTATACGTTAATGGGTAATGGAGTGCGAATACCTTGCACTTTTGGATCGTAAATGTCTCTTCTTCGTGCCCGAAACAGCGCGGACTTTTTTCCGGGCAGAAATGTGCAAGAAGTCAATTTGAAATAACAGCTGCTGTTTGTTTACATCCGAAAGCAAATTTTGTAAAGTATAAAAATGGAAAATAGCACTAAAGTTTCAGAAATGCAGGTATTTGCAAATGTTATTAGCCATATAAGATACTTACACATAAAATCATTGCTTAGAACTTATTTGCTGGTTCCGGGCACGAAATGTGGTCTTTGCGTTCCTATAATTACCGCTCTAATTACCCAAACAGTCCGGAAAGCATGTGGAACAAACCTTTTTTTTACCGACTTCAAAAAAAAGAGAAGCTTATCAATTCGTCGGAATATATATATACATTTTTTATGTATTTTTTTTCATCGGAAGAAATTAACGATGATCTTAAATTTTTATATGAAAATTGAATTCGGTTGTATTTTTTGCTTAAAAATTACTTGGATGGCTAGCTTAAGAAAAAGCTGGCTGGCAAGCTTAAGAAACTCCAAGCCTTGCTGCATCCAGTAAACGCATAACTCAGCTGACTGTGTCAATACAATGGTGTGGTCTGGAAGCATCAACAGAATAGTAGAAGTAATTTTGTTGTTGTAAGTAACGCATAACACAAGGTAACGGTCGCAAAAAATGAATGAAAATGATGGTGAAATAAAGTGGATAAAAATTCCAACATGCAAGAAAGTCGAAGTGGCTGAATTTGCAGAAAAACGCAAAGCAGCAAGAGTTCGCATAAATCACGCCAGCCTATCATTGAGGGAGGTAGTCAAAAAGCACGCGCTCGTACATTCTTATGTACCCTGTAAGATATCGGGTTAGACTCAAAGTACACAATAAACTAGAGCTGAATTTTTGTAACCAGTTTCTAATTTGGACTAAACACAAGCAAAGGCCAATTTACAATCAATGATCATTTCGTGGCCTAGACTGCATATCATTGAAACCAAAAAATAGGCCAAACGAACCTATGACAAAACATATACAAAGAACTGATACACTGTGTATTACATTCGATCCTTTTACAATGCAATTGCCCTACCCAGCATTACACTGGGACTATTTTTATTAGCATTACACTGCCTTCAGTTTTAAGGTTATAAGTACGGTGACCATCCGTCCTTTATTTTAAAGGACAGTCGTCTATTTTAACCACCTGTCATTTACAATTGTTTTCAAAATAAAGGACGCCTTTTGCGCTTTATTTCTTGAACTGTCCTTCAAAACAGCTCTGCATTTTTCAGAAGTGTATTTTAAACACAGAATATGAGAAATAAAAATATCCCTTATAAAAGATATATTGAAAACCTTCGCCAGTTTGTTTCGCACCCCACTTAAGGGCTTTTATTTAATCGGTAACCTTTGTTCAATCTATAAAGCACAGAGAAAGTTGCGCTCAGGATCGTGTTGCACGCTGAGTTTCCAGTTCGACTGAAAGAGAACAATAAACCCCCTGCTGCACAGTGGTCCAAAACTGGCATTTGGTGTTCGTTATTCACTCGAGCCTTCATTTTTTGTTACTTAATTTGATAATTTCTTTATGAAAGCTTATAATATTTGCAAGAGACCAGCTGAGCCTGATTTGTGAATTTTTATTTGGTTATATTAAATTTTTTAGTGAAAAATGCAGAAAAAGTTTGGAATTTTTAAATTTTCTTAAGCTGTCTATGTTTTCTCCTTCTTTCCTGCATGTCCTCCTGCAATCGCTCAAAAAGACACGCGCACATACATATATAAATTAAAACACATTTACATACATATATATCTACATTTGAAGTATGTATTCTAGCAAAGAACTTGCGCAAATTGAGGTAATCATGAGTATGGAAGACAAGGTTCGAAAGAAAAAAAAAACCCATAAATATAAGAATGAGGTTCGTATGGAATGAGTTGGGCAAATGAAAACCGAGCAGAACTGGAGTTAAGTTAAACAATGGGCCATATGCATAAAACCTAAGCAAATGCTTTTTCTTAAAGCTTCAGACCTTTTATTCGATTTGTTCAAATAAATTTAAGTAAAAGGTACTAAATTTTAAGTAAAAGAAAATGCTTATGGCGATTTCTTTTCTACAAAAAATTTTGCATTCTCATCGCCCTCTTCTTAGTGTTTGTGCGTAGAGGGCAAAGAGAAGGTTGCATTTTTCGGTAGAAACGAAATCGGAACAATGAGTTGTATTTGAAAGTGAGAAACAGTTTAAAAAAAAAATTATTGAGATATGATTTATGAGAATGTAAAATAAAGTCTATGGGGGAAGAAGCTACAAACTGCCTCTTGTTGTATTTGTTTCATTCGGCGTCCCATCCCAGTGGGAATTAGAAGCACGTAATAATGCCATACTCTTCATCCGGCGGTTCTTACCACTTCCCTGCCAAATTTTCCTTACTTTAAAAAAGCCATGTCCGCCTTTTGGAAGTAGAAATTGAGAATATACATTTGGTATTAGACAGACTATACTATATATATACCGGAGTAGTTCGGTGTTCGGTAGTATCTTTGGCGGCACATTATTTTACACCTTTTTAGTAAGACGTAATCAGGGCCCGGATCGCGGCATTCGTGATTGATTGATTACTCGTTTCGAATCGAATCAAACAAAATGGCAGCTCTCCACAATACGAGTTAAATGGGCGAAGCACACTCGCTATCGAATGCCGCGATCTCAAAATCATATTTCGATTCGAGTTACTTTCGACATCGAATTCCGCGATTCGCGCCCAGATAGTGCTCATTTCGCGCTTTAGTAATGGATAACATTAGGCATTATGCTCGTAACAATTTTGATACTAAAAGCTGAAAGAAAACATAGATTAACTCGAAAGGTAGTTTCCAACTGGGTTATAATAAATTACTTTTATTTTGTCCATACACCAACATCTGCTTTATGAGGCTTTAAATAGTTTAAGATTTTAATTGCCAACAGTCCGCGGCGTAGAAGAAATTAAAAAAGCAAATTGTATGTCTCTCATTTCCGGTTCACTTGCCACACATGATGGCGACAACGACGACGATGGCGATTCCGCAACCATCAACAACAACACTCTCCCCACCACCTCCTGGCAATGACGATGCTGCTGACGATGAATGATGAACGCTGAACGAACAACACTGCTGTGGCATCCACCTGACGCTTCTCTGGCTGCTACTTCTATGACAATTACCGTTACGCACACGGCACATAAATTGATGGCAACATATGGCAACCTGCCGCACGGATGGTGGATACTGACGGCACTCACAATGAACCGTCACAACGTGCAACAACAACAAAAACATCAATGAACACGAAAAAAAAACACTTTTGCTTGCTCCAATTACAATGGCAATCGGCAACAACANACCGCACGGATGGTGGATACTGACGGCACTCACAATGAACCGTCACAACGTGCAACAACAACAAAAACATCAATGAACACGAAAAAAAACACTTTTGCTTGCTCCAATTACAATGGCAATCGGCAACAACACAAACAAACTGAAATTGCATTACCAACGGCTGCTGGCTGCCTAACGAATTTGGTTCCATGCTGCAGGCTGGGATGATTGGAGTGATTTTACGCTCTGCAGCGTTACATGCGGCAAAGGTGTGCAACAGCGATTCCGTCGCTGCTTGCTCGATAATCCGTTGGTTAACTTCAACATGCAGCTAAACTTGAATGCAGTCGCCGATGATGAAGATGACGAAGATGTGGTTGCCTACGATGCGCCCAGCAGCGAAGGCTTTGACGACACACAGCTCGCATACAATGCGTTAGGCGGCTTCAATGACATGGACTTGGTTGGCGCGCCATCGAGTGACGAAAACAAGCAGCGAAAGCAGGGCACAATTTCCAAAGAGAATGGCGACAACTTGCAACAGCTCAACGGCAATGCGGCGAAAACAGACAATTCCGCAGCTTTGGAAACTCTTTCAGGCATTGAGACTGTTGCTGGCACTGCAGCAGCAGCAGCAGCAGCAGCAGCATCGAACGAGCACATCGACTACAAGATTAATAAGCCACATAAATCCAATTTGCGCAAAACACTAGCAATGCGAACGTTTGCCACGACAGCGGCCATCGCTGGCAAAACAGCTAAAACCAATAAAGCAGATGGTCGAGCTAATGATTCCAAAAGTGAAAACAGTGAAAACAGCATTGTCAACGATGAATTGATGCGCACTTTCGAAGGTAATCTCAGAGTGAATGAGGAGACTTTCTTCAGCAGTGGCAGCACTCTGAAGCTGGATGGCGAGCAGTCGATCAATGGCAATGAAAGCCATGAAAATTCTAAAAGTAAATCGCGACGCCAGCATAAACGCCGAAAACCAACGAAAAACTATTCGACCATGTTTTGCGAAGGCTACAACATTGAGCAGCGTAATTGCAACACATTCGAGTGCAGCGGTAAGTTTTCATACATATAGACAAATACGTATGTAGCTGTAAGTATGTATGTGCGTAAATAAATAAGTAAGTTTTCAAGAAATTAAAGATGAATTGTGCAGCTATTTTTGAAGTAAGTACATAATTGAAATCCCCGGCCGCTTTGGTGTGGTGGTTAGCAGTGCGCGCTACCTTAAGATTTTATAGAACACTTAAAGAAAAAAATGCATCAAAATTTCAAATTTTTTTCTCAGATGTGTTTTTGAGTATACAGTTTTATAGCCCATTCAATTTTAGTGTAATAATGTGCAAGTTTCAAGTGGCTAAAAATTACCGTTGATTTTCACTGTATTAAATTTCTCGCTAATATTGCAAGCCCAACACAAACTCACGACTTGTCCAAATCTTGAAAAAGTTTATTAAAATTTTACTGATTTCGTGTTAATTGCATTGATTTAAAAATTTTTTTATTAAGAGTATTACGCATATTTTTTATACAAAAAATTTGTCGAACATACATGTTTCAAAGAAAATCTGAAAAAAATTGCCAAAAATCAACATAAAACGTAAAAATTTTTCTAGAAGTTCTTGTTAAAAAGTTTGCAATTTAGATGAAACTGTGAACAATTTTCACAATTTTCGCGAATTTGGTTTATTCGCTTTTTGTTAGACGATGAAACTATACTTAAAAAAAAAAAATTAAAAAACAAAAAAAAAAGCCAGAATTGTTAAAATTTCGCGACCCTATTTATTTTTCCACCACTTTACCAAACATGTAAATATTCGAATTTTATCTCAATAACAAAACCCTCTATTTTTATATATGTACATAGATTTGTCATATTTTTGTAATATTTGTATCCTTTAGCTTCAAAAAAAAATTTAACCATTTTACCCGAACCGAACCGCGGTTCAATAATGCTCATGAACCGGTTATTGTACCGGTACAAGCTGAACCGAACCGCACCGTTTTTTTTTTTTTTGTGAGTGATTTGCAGCCCTGTTTTATATTGTAAGAAATCTCGTGCGTGATAGCGGTTGGTTAAACAGCTGACAATATGAAAAGTATCGGCCTTAATTTCTTTATGCAAAGCAAGAATCGAACGAACGATACAACTTATCAAAGTATAAATTGAAAAAAGTATATTCATTGGTGCATATGTATGTACATAAGTATATGCAAAAAAATTGATTAATACCATTCACAAAGGAATCACATTACCCAGAGTAGAGCAGAATGAAAATAGACCGTGCTAGCTGGAATTTAAATCCCGCAACACAATTCTTACCCGACATCTGCCTGCCAAACGCTTTCAAAGTAATGTCAACACAGCGGAAATTAATATGCTTTATCTACTGACGATGCTTGTTTTACATACATATGTATGTACATTGGAAAGAGTTGCAGTATTTTCTATCTTCCAACTCAATCAGCAGACAATTTATAAAACGCTCTGACAACCCACATTCCTCCCCCCTCAAGACTGCATAATGTCATACACATTTATTCACATAAACATTTAAATATTTGTATGTACGTATGTATGTACATTAGGGTGGTCCTTAAATGTAGGAAGCAAATTTTTACATCAGATTTTCTAAGCCTCAACCCCCACGTCGATGATACTTAAGTCGAGGATATGACATATAAATTTCGGTCCCGATTGGAGACGGTCAAGACGTGTCGCACAGGGCTCAAAATTCAGATTACCCTAGGAAGACGTCTTAACCGACTCCAATCGGGACCGAAATTTATATGTGATATCGTCGGCTTAAGTAATATCCATTTTGGGCATTAAATGAAAAAATTATATTTTTAATATTTTGAGACCATAGAGGCGTTTGGCCTTTGACGCCTTTCCGACACGCCTTAACCATCTGCAATCGGCACCAAAAGGTATACGTTATATCTGTGAACTGAGACTGAAAAAAAAAATCCATTTGATTTTTAAGGACCACCCTTATGTACATACATACATATGTATGTATATGTACATATGTACATAACTTTTTCTTTCAACCTTGCCTTTCCATTACTGTCTTTGTTTTTCCGATCCTTATTTTGCTTTGTCTTGAAAAATATACCTAAGTGTATGTATGCATGTTCATATGTACGTATGTATGTATGTTTAACTAAATTTTCCCTCCTGTTGTCTGCTTCGCACATTCCAGATGACATAAGTGACTTATTAAAATTTTACAAAAAGTTCTCCCTGCCAGAGGATGTGGCAAGTCCCGCTACAGTTGCAATGCAATCGTCACCGTTGCTGTCACTTGCAGCTGATAGTCACATTGCAACAACAACACTAGCGTTGAATTCGGTCATGCCAAGCATAGCCGTGACAACATCGTCGGCAGGAGCAGCAGCGACAGTTGACTCGGCGGGCAATGCGACAACAACAGGCGCCACATCAGCTACGGACAGCAGCACCGGCTCTGGCTCAGAGACTAGTGCCAGCAGTGCCAGCGTCAGAGCCGCTCATGTTGCTGGCACAGCATCGGGTGCTGGCACATCGAATTCAAATGCTGCTGCCAGCATAGCGACTGTTGCCAACCCGCCACCTTCAACGACACCAGCCAACATGGGATACATTCGCTATTGGCGCAATCCGTTGAATTTCACGATAATGCTGACGCTGCGAGTTCGAGTAAGTAGAAGTGCTTAGATCTAATAGAAATAAGAAAAAAAAACCCCAAACAAATCGGTAAGTAAATTAGGAGATAAGCAAAAACTAATCAACCCAAATAATGGCAAGTGCCAAGATAAATTCTAAAGCGGGCTAAAAAAAAAAAAATATTGGTTCCCATTTTAACCCAACTGTCGCTAATCTAAACTCGACATACATAACTGTTGTGGAGCGCATGTATGTATGTATATCTACATCATAGCTGGGCAAAACGCTACTCGCGAGTAGCGTCTGCGTCGCAGCGCTTATACGTATACAGAAACGACGCAGCGAATTTCAATTCAGTCTGCTTTCAGATTTCATGAGAGTAACACTACGCTTCGACGTTGAATATTTTTATTCGTAATTTTAGCGCGTGGTTGCCACCTATATATGTAACAATGCCCAAAATGTCTGAGTATGAGTGCCAATTACAGTTTTTGGTTTTAAAAAAAGCTAATAATGCCCAATGCTTGTTGTGTGGTAATACGACCATTAACCATAAACAAATGAAAAAAACGCTCCACTCAGTGCAATTATAGAAAAGTGCTTCTCAGCGCGACGCACTAGGGCACACATTGCATACTTTATTTTATAATATTTTTTTTATCAAAAGAAATCGATAGAGAAATGTAAATGCTGGTTTATGCCCAAAAATACTTAATGAATAATATTTATAAGTTATACTCTATTTTTAAGACTAAATACCTACTTATATGAAACAAGTAATTTTTAGCAAGAAAAAAACCGACTTCAACTCTCATAAAAAAAAAAAATATATATATATATATCTCACGATCCACTGATCGGATCTTAACCAGATTAGTATGGGACCACCTCTGAGACACTACCTTTCCGATGCAAAAAGAATTATCGAAATCGGTTGACGTGGTCCAAACTTATGCGGTAACATACATAAAAAAAAAAAAAAAAAAAGATTCCGACGAACTGATAACCTCCTCCTTTTTTGGAAGTCGGTTAAAAAATAAGACCTAAACACCGTAACCATCTGGCCGGTCAGCATATAAAAGAATTTGTTCTAATAAAACGGAGCCCAGGTATTATACAAATGAGTTTACCTAATTTAAGTTTTTTTAAATTATACAAGTACTAAATTTTTCTTATGCAAAAGGTTGTATAAACTAATAGTATTAGTTACTAAAAACTTCCAAGGTTCATTATTACACTATAGGTATAAGCAAAATAGGCCAAAATACCCATGCACGAAAAATACCACTTTTAGTACATATATAAAAAATGCGGCAACCATAACTGAGCGCGACGCACTAATACCATGACAAAATGAGACTGTGTTGGTGTGCCCAGCTATGATCTACATGCAATGCACATTTAACGCATATCAGTTACACGACACAACCATGAACATATCGCCCACATCCTTCCCGTTTTCACTTAAAATTACTGATTTTCAATGTTGTGTGCCTGCAGTCTAAAAGTGAAGCAACATTTGGTGGAAATTTGTTTCAAAAAATCGTTGTCTTAAAATCAGTCTTTTTTGTTTTCTAATAAATTAGAAATTTTTGATAAACCTCGCTACAATCCTGTTGCATGTCTACTAAATTGCTCGAAGTTGGTCAAAGTTGCTTGAAAAAACGAAAACTTTCAAATTCTAATCAAATCAAATCAATTTGTGCTTGCTAATATATATTTGCTTACTTAATTGGCTCAAGCTTTCCGGCACGCTCAAAAGTTAAACAAAAGTAATATCTAAATTAAAAAGAAGTAAGAATGGAGGTCAAACGATATCCAAGTAATATATGCACATATGTACATACATACATATGTACATACATATATTGCATAGAAGCAACCAACTCATTCTAAAAATATAAAAGTTCATGGGGCTTGATTTAAGCAAATCGAACTAAGCACAAACATGTCCGCCGACCCAAGTCGAAGCTGCTGTCATTTAAGTAGATATGCATGTCTTTTATATATACCCAGTGGGAAAATGTAATGTATGGTAATCGAAAAAATAACAAGTAAAACAGCCGAAAATGCATCATTTTCCCTACGGCGATATCCTAAGAAAAGTATGGCATTCTATTTTGCATTACCTAGCATCGAATATGAAAAGTAATAGAGTCTGAAANCGCTTGCTTAGAGTGAAAAGTTGCTAAGTCCCTATTCAAAAATTGTGCAGGAGAGGAAAAAAACTTCTTAAAGCTTCTTCAAGTATTCAAGTATTTCACAAAACTTCGCAAAACTTTGAATACAACCTTTTGTCTGTTGAAGGCAATGCAACTGCATACGAATCAGAGGCATTCGATCTTTATTAAAAGATTTTATACTAGTTTGGACTTGCCGAATTTTCGGAGGTTTTTTTTGGAATTCACAAATTTCCCTTTCATTGAATATAAACGAGAAAACATAAAACAATGATCTTTATCCTTTTCAAAACGATGCATTTTTGATTTTTTCTAGCCTCCTGTATCAAAATATGAGTTTCCATGAAAAGCGGACTTAGCAACTTTTCACTCTAAGCCAGCAATATCGTATATACAACTAATCCCTTCTAGCCTAGTTCCCGTTTGCATAGTTATCTGATCATCTGAGGACTGGAACCTTTTCCACAAACGTTTTCGCAAAAATTGGATGACGGAAATCTTTAAATTTGCATTTCGTTAGAAAGGTAGCTAACAGCTGTAAATTTGAAGAAAGAAAAGTGGTAAGATCAAAATCTTATGAACAAAAAGAAATAATTTCGAAAGAGTTTTTAAAAATTCCGCTTCAGATGAGCTACGCTGGCCGTAGTGGTAAAAGTTTTCTAAAAACAAAAATGTGAAAGCATGAGGTGGAAAGAATATTGTAGAGGTAGAGGATAGGCTAGGCAAACGTGGCCAATGATAATCTTCAGTTTGTCGACTGACACAGAAATATTTGAGAGCAGATTTCCGCGATTTCTAGAGTTTATGGAACTCCAAACTGTAGTAAAAGGTCCTTATTAGCATCACCATATCAATGAAGGTCTTCAACTGGCATTGACACAAAGAAAAATGTTCAGGATGTTTTCCTTCTGAAATAATATTAGTCTGCTAGACAGCACAAAAGCAAAAATAGTTTTGCTGCTGATTTTAAAACCACATATGTAGTTACCAGTATCTTTAAACTATTTAGAGTGCATTTAAAACTCCATTTCGGTAGGAATTTTAGACATTAAAGCATAAAGTAGTTGGAATTGGTGGTAAAAACAAAATGGAACTGAAATGCATTTATTTTTCTTTTAAATTACTCCTTAAGTAAAAAACGCCGAGATACGTAAACTGAATTTTGGGTCGTAGATTACGGACCTGTATACCGTTTCCTGAAGGTAATTTTCCTAAGATATTTTAATTTTTATGAAGAAAAATTCAAACTTTAATAAGGAAACAAACAAAAAATAACATAATTTTTTTCCAAAAAATTAAGCTACTAAAGATGAAAATCTATGGATAAATAAACAACTTTTAAATGGTTAAATGAAAATTACGATATTACCCAGCAAACACAGTCTCTAACGTTAGAGAAATTTGGATTTCTACATTAGATAACTAGGGTAATTCTCTAATCGTTCTCGAGCCGATGACAAAATTAGAGAATTACATTAGAATTCGATTCGAGAACGATTAGAGAAACAGCGCGAATTCAAATAAATGTAAATAAACAATATTCCAAATGAATTACTCATAAATTATTTTTAAGTTCAAATAATTCATTATTATTTTATTGCAAATACATTTAATACAAATTTTACAAACAAAGCAAGGCAAGACAGCAGTTTGAAATTCACATTCGAATCCCATTAGAGATCAACATTGGAATACGATTAGAGAATTAATATTTTCTCGAGTCGAGAACTATGTCCCATTTTTGTTGAGATCGCTATGATTCTCGATAGTTTTTCGAGTCGTTCTCTAACGTTTGAGATTGGAGAATGTGGCTAGCCCTCCAATCAGTCTCTAATCGATAACTAACCTCAATGTTTGCTGGGTAGCGGCAGGAAATAATGTTACTCATACGCCATGTCGTACATGGCCTTACTCTGTACATACTCGTACATGGCATACATATGAGTAAATTTTTCCTTGTTAAAATTCAACAATGCAAACTTAAACTTAAAATATTTTGGATAAGTGAGGGTACATTCCAAAACGTCAAAATACAAAGAATCGGTCTCTTTTATTTCTAAACCTCGGTAGATTGTAATGCCAAATGTGCGCAGCCACAATTAGATGCTAGCTTGCAACTAGGTTCCGCAAGTTAGACTTTTTCTAGTGCGGTTCAGAAATAAAAGAGACGGGTGCTTTATAAGTATTTTGACGTTTTAGAATGCAGCATGGCTCATCTAGATCCGTAACCTATGACTCAAAATTAAGTTTACGTATCTTGGCGTTTTTTTGTGTAATTTTAGGGTCTCTACACTGTTGTGAATAATTCGTAATACATATGCTAGCGATAGCGATATCTACATATGTATTTTTTTAATTTCTTTGAAAAATTGTATAACAAAAAAGTTTTCGGATGTTAAATAAACCGTTGCTTTTCTACAAAGTCAGGATATCGGTTTTATTGGTGTAATTTAAATAAAATTGAATACATATAACATCTTAACACATGGCGCACATGTACAAATACACATAATTTTGACTGTGGGAAAAGAAATGAAAAACTCCGCATCAAAGAGTCAATGCATAACACCAAAAAAAAAGAACTGCACCGTCAGCTGTCACCAACAGCCACACAAAGTGTCACATGCATGCATACACATACATATACATATGTACATATGTACGTATGTATGGTTGGTCGCAAATATTGCATTGACTCTTTTGCTGGCTGTTTATTATTTTCGTTGATTTCCCGTAAATATTTTCTTTATGATATTGTAATTTTATACACAAAAATATTTTCCATCGTTCCACGCCTTCATTCCGCCCCCGCAGAACGACAGCAAAACCGCAACAACGATTTTCTCGATACGCAACGCCACACACAATTTGTATCTGGAAGCGTGCAAGGATGGCTTGCGATTGTATCTGGAACGAGACAGCACCACAGAAATGCTGCCATTGAAATTTAATTTATACGATTACCGTTGGCATCAAGTGGCCATCAGGTGAGTTGTGAATCGATATTGAATGAGTGCTTGAAAATATTTATTTTTTAATGGCAAAGGAAAGGAAGTGTAGGCTGGAAAAGCAACGTGCTGGCCGCTTTTCGGATTGACACTACGTAAAACACCAACACCAGTACTCCCGCTCGCGCACTTAGGAATTAGGAATGCATTCCATTAGTGGTGCTGCAAAATGTTTTGAACAGTATCACATAGATATTCACATACTAGTCGTGTTTCCATGGGTTATCCAACCCACGATCAATTCTCACAGGAACAGTGTAGATCACTTATGGCAGCAATAATTTTAAAACACTAACAGGAGAAAACACTAACAAAAGAAAATGAATTTTTAGCATGAAGGGGAATTATTTGAAAGAAGTTAAAATACACAATGGTCGAATTGTTTTTTGTGTATCCATTCATTTGTCAGTGTTACCAAACCGTGGTGCCAAATGATCAATGAAACAAAGCAAACAGAACGCATCATAAACTTAACCAGATCTTTAGCAGGGTGACAGGGTGCTAAATAAAGTCAATGAACATTATTACAACATTTTCAAAAGCGAAATAAAATCCCTTGACATTATTGCTCTTTCAAGCATTAAATTTGTGCAGCTTCGCGGCGGCCCACGCTGTATTGGCAACCAGGCCATTTTGCATCGGTGGCACAAAGTGTAAAGGCGGCCATGTTTTATTAGCTTTGAATTTAACAGTGTTCGCTTTATTTTTAAACGAAACATCAATCAATTCATCAATTGTTTTTCGTATTCCAGCTCATATTGTGCTTGGGTTTTCGCATGGTGGCTCATGATTGTGTTGGTTAATAGCACTGAGGATTTGGTAATAGGCTCTTCCATCTATGAAAACAACACTTACGGGACAATGTTAATTGTAACAACATGCATCGACATACTTCAAGCATTTTTTACGCTATTTCCGTTGAATTTCCAAATTTTTGTCGACTTTAACTCGCTTTTTAAAAGGTAATAATGTCAATTGATATTATTTCACATCACTATGCGCATAATTACCCTAATTATGAGTTGCACTCGATTTTCGATCTTCGCTGGTTACACTGGATCACAAATTTTTATTTTGTTTTTTTGTTCTCCAGACGTCACTATCCAATTTGTGTGCAGAATGTAATTTTGGTTGTTGTGAATACGTTTTCGAGATATTTGCAATTTACCGTTATTCAGCTTAAAAAAAGAGTGGTTCCACTTAATCATGTACATATATCTAACGAAACTGTGGTGTAGTGGTATGCAGTGCCCGCTTCCGCTCCGCAGGGCCTGGGTTCAAGCTCTGGTCAAAGCAACATCGAAAAAAATATAGAAAAAAGGTTTTTTCTTAACAGCGTTCGCCCCTCGGCAGGCAATGGCAAACCTCCGAGTGTATTTCTGCCATGAAAAATAGCTTCTCATAAAAATGCAATCGCCGTTCGGAGTTGGCGTAAAACTGTTGGTTCCTCCTCTTTGTGTGACTTAAGTAGGTTCACTGTATTATTAATTGAACAATTGTAATACGAAATTTGGCAAATCAATACCAATGAAATTTTCCATAAGCTGTGTATAAATCATTTTTCTATAGGCCTGATAGTTTCTGATAAATAATAAAAAATAACAGTTTCTGTGTAAATGTTTTGCACTTTTGTTAAAGTCTGTTCCTTTAGAAAAAAATTAAGCTACTAATAAAGAAAATCGATGGATAAATAAGAATGTAATGATTGGTCGTATGAAAATGCGCAAGGTTTTTTTGTATGAAATATGAGCAGAAAAGAGTGTTACTCATACGCCACGTACACCTGAGTAGGTGGAGTGTTTGCATCGAAAGCAAGAGGTGTCAGAAATTATTAGATAATTTCTCAGAAACTATCAGAGCTATCGAAAAGTGATGTACATACGGTGGGAATTTCATTAGCTTTCATTTGCCGTATCCCGTATTACGATTATTCAATTGGTTCGTAATATAAACATGATTAAGAAACCTCTCTTTTTTAACCTGATCTACGGTACATTGCAAATATCTCGAAAAGTTATCCATAGAAAAAAATGTCTCGATTGTTGGGATCACCGAGCAATTCTACATCGGTATTGGATAGTGTTCGTTAGATAGTGGCATCCATAGAACATTTTTGCTGTAAAGCAGTGTTATCGAATATCGTATTATGAGCTATGCAACTGTGTCGAAATTTTCGTTGAGTATCGAATTATCTGACGAACAGAATTTTGCTTTCGATGCTGTAGCGAAATGTAAGAAAATTGTGAACATTTTATGATTTTGCGTTTGTTTTCTTACGTTTTGGCGGCTAGATACTAATTTTAAAAAAACCTTTTATTAATTTCATGCAGGTCTTATGTCGTGAATACTAAAAACAATATAGAAAGACTGGCTTCACTTATGAAATAAAATCCCAATACTCAGTTGGTACGATCTCTGAGAACAAAATAGTGGAGCCATGTCAATTGACGTTAATCTTGTTACCTGTCACCCTCTAGCAGGATCATATCGTTGTTGTTGTATTTAGGTGTAAAATTTTGATCCGAATGCCGATTATTCGCCACAGGAACCCTGCTCCTATCTGTTAAATATTTATCGGCATTTTTCATCTTGTTGTGCCTCAGCTTTTTTCTTTTCCTAATCGAGTTCAGATAAAGGCACGAGTATTTTAAGCTGGACATATTTAAAAAGCGAATGAATGGTTCATTATTAACCCGTTCGAAACCAGTAAATGCATGTACTGGACCTACCAAAACAACGGTAGGGTAGTTACACATCCACACCCATATGCAGCCCACACGCGTGCCTTCGCACTGCCACACACCGGCATATCCTGGCCACTCTGTCCACATTTAGCGCCACTGAAGCAATGAATGCACGCACTGAACCTTTAACTTTTTCATTGCTTCGCTTTATTATTTCCCTTTCAATATTTTACTGTTGTGCAAATTGACCTCTTTCGCGTTGTGTTGGACTGTGGCAACTTCATTCTGTTAGCCATTTCGTTGTTATCCATTTATGTATGTGTATATTTTTATAAATAAATACGTATGAAACTATGTATTTAATTTTTTTTTATAGCCCTTTAAATTAATTTTATCTCTTTCACTTTATTTTTTCATACGTAAACGTTTCGCACTGCTTCCCGGCACTCGCCATTCATATCGTCCAATTGCAGTATACAAAATGGTGATTTCATTTCCATTTATGTCGATTGTTCCTGGACAAATAGTTTTGTCGTGTCGAAGCGGCTGTACACGCTGCCTCTAAACGCTGATGTGGAAATTGGACGCGGCTTTAATGTGAGTATTGGGACATTTTATTGCACAAACGGCGATGTTAACCGCTGTTTTATTGTTTTTGTTATCACAAGTATTTTCTTATTCTGACCAATATATGTATGTATGTACATATACTTAAATATTTCAATTTCTTAACCCTTTAACGCAAAAGTGGTTAAATTGATTCCGATTTGGAACTTTATTTCTTTTAAAATTCGCACCACTTTAAAAGAATTCGTTTGGACCCACACAGAGACCAATGACACTAGACAACCTCAAAGAAAAAAATCCTGCAATGCGACCGGAGAGGATCCTCCAAGAATCTTCCGTCTCTACTATAATTCGAAGAGGTCGAGGTTTATGTACATAAATGCATATCTGTGAACTTTTGACAAAACAACTTCTGCGCTTTCCGTATTTGGGAATTTGGAGTAAATTATAAGGAACTTCCATTTAAAAGATTTACATTTTTATTTAACTTTCATCAAGATAGCAGCTTAAGCTACTATTAATGATTAAAAATTAGAGTACCATTCGCGAACTCAATGAATTAAATACTGCTGTGAAGAGAAATGTCCACAGATATGTATGTATATGCCGTCGCCTGGATAAAAGATTGTCGTATGGTACTTTCGGCCAGTTTTAGGAAATCGCGATTGAAGTTTGGAATGCAATTGCTCAAAACGTGACAAAGCATTTTCTCCAAAGTCTCGGATAATGTTACAAGTTCACGAAATTCTTAATTTATTTTACATACACTGCTGGAACAAAGTATTGGCACAGCAAATTTTGCACAATATATGCAACAATTTTTATTCTAATATATTTCCGCCAATTTTGTATAAAAATATGGTTCATTCAACAACAAAAAACATAACAATATAATTCCTAAACTTTGTGCAAAATTCGAAAAAATTCAGCAAATTTTCGTCAAAATTTTCAACTTTTTAATCAGATTTTTTAGATTTTTTTTGAGTACGCAGTTTTGCAGCCCATTAAATTCTAGTAAAAAAATGCAAGTTCGGAGTTAGTCAAAAATTTTTGAAAATTTTTTTTGCTGAAGGTGTTTTGCATTTTCTCCATATAAGCATTTTTGAAAAAAAATTTTTGTATGGAAGAGACTGCGTGAAAAAAATTGCCAAAAAATCAACGGTAATTCAAAACCCCAAACCTTAGAAATATTCATAAGTAAGATTATGCATTTGTATAGGTTGTGCATACGTACATGAATGCAAATTTCATGTTTTTTCTTGTTCATATTTTTTATTTATTTTTGCTCTCAAAACCAATAACCACCAAAGGGCGAGCTGCAACAGTTGCTGGTGCTGCCCGATAACCAGGAACGGCAGCAATGCTCCAATAAGCGGACGTCCATAAATGAAGTGAAACGCTACATTATCGACACGTTCATCGATGATTACGGTAATTAATTGGCGGCGTACGGATAATTGAAATGCGAGCAAATAACCAAAGGCAACAACAAACAAATAGAAAAACATATACATACTGCACTAATTTATACGTACATACATACATACATACATTTATACTTAACGCATGAATGCACGACGACATATACATATATGTATATACATACATTACATATGTATCTACATATATTTATGTGTAATGCAGTAAGTATTTAGATAATTTCAAGTGATTGAAAAAATAAAAAAATAACAATTAATTAATAATTAAGAAGCTCAGTGCGTCGAAATGGNAGATAATTGAAATGCGAGCAAATAACCAAAGGCAACAACAAACAAATAGAAAAACATATACTGCACTAATTCATACGTACATACATACATACATACATACATTTATACTTAACGCATGAATGCACAACGACATACATATATATACATACATTACATATGTATGTACATGCATATATTTATGTGTAATGCAGTAAGTATTTAGATAATTTCAAGTGATTGAAAAAATAAAAAAAATAACAATTAATTAATAATTAAGAAGCTCAGTGCGTCGAAATGGACGTAATTTAGATTTAATATTGTGATTCATGTGTGTCCTAAATAAATTCGAATAAAAGTTAAGTATGAAATATTTGTTATACAAAAAAAAAAAATAACAATTAATTAATAATTAAGAAGCTCAGTGCGTCGAAATGGACGTAATTTAGATTTAATATTGTGATTCATGTGTGTCCTAAATAAATTCGAATAAAAGTTAAGTATGAAATATTTGTTATACAAAAAAAAAAAATAAGTAGATCAATGCAGTAGTATTATTGATAGTACATACATACATACATATATGCATGTATCTATAAGTGTGTGCGAGGGAAAATGGAAAAGTGTGAAAATTTAAAACGATCGAAGTATTTAAGCAAACTTTGACATAAAACAATAACTACAAATTAAATATTCTAGCTGTAAGTATTTATTTGAAAAATTTATACAAATTAAATACATAATTAGAATACACAGGCGTGCGTATATACATATACATACATACATATGCAGACATAAGCGCTTTCATATTACATGCATATGTACATATATTAAAGTTTATAGAGAAATTCTTACTTGTGAACTAATACTAGAATGCTACCAGTTTGCGTTTCAGCCCAACTAGTGCACGTTCTATCCCTTTTCAATGTTAGCCACTGGTATTTTTAACACGTCGGTGTCCTACAGGATGTGAATAAATTAATAATATGTTTAAAACAAATGATCTGTGACCCAATGACCTGCAGTGAATAAAATAATAAATTTTTTATAAAACTTTCGTATATGAGGCATTTTTTTCATATCGGACACCAAATTTGAACATTTTTCTAAAAATATTATTTATTAATTCACTGCAGTTCATTAGGATAGCGCACCTTTTGTTTAAATTGTTTTTTTAAATTTATATAAAATTTTAAAACCGGATTTACCTTTAGAATATGCAACATTTTTATAAAGAACTATGAATATTAAACAAACAAAAGGAAAACTGTGCATTCTGAAGATCGAAAGGGTGCGTTATTCAAATGGCTGGAGTGTATGTAATTTTGCTCGCGGCGCTCCAACAATCGCAATAGCCGAAAGAGAAATAATTACATTGACTTATATTGATTTAATTTAAATAATCTTTACCACCTCCAAGCGAATTCGAACCCGCTATCTTAGCCAAACCTTTCACTGCAGAGTAAAGTAAATGGATGTGTATAATGTGTGTATGTATATATGTAGCGCAAAAGTGAAATGTTAAACATTTTTCGTCTTACTGTAATTCTAACATTAAAACTTCTCTCTGAGAAAATATTATTTGACCATATGAAAATGCTAAATCATCATGAAAAAAGCTGGAAGCGCACTAAGTGTTTAAGTCCAATGGATTCTAACTATCTACATTTTCTAGTTAATGGATTAAAATCTCCATTTTAACTTTTAGTCCTATCTTTTTTTTCGCCCATTGGTATAACTGAGAGACTCTAAGAAATTGGATGCATTCAAATAGAAATTCCAATACATATGTATGTATATCACCTACTCACACACACACACACGAAATAGTTATAAGAATCTAAGTTGTTTGTTGGTTGGCTTTCATTGTGGATCAAGTTGGTTTGCTTCCTTCCCAGTTGGCTGGATTTGTCGTTTGCCGGCCGACCAACTTCCGCGAAACAAAGGCAGCATTTGTCAACAATAAGCATAATTATAAGGAACAAAAGAATACAAAGTAGTGTACAATAATTGCCAATACTACAATAAGTGAAGAAGAAATGAGAGATAGAAATTAGCATTCATAGAAAATGGATAAAGTATAAAAAATAAAGTTAGATATATACATACATACACACATACATACTCATGAACATATGTATAATAGACATACGCATATATATATATACATATATATAATATACTCGTGCAAATGGGTAAGTATATGTGCATATTTGCTTAAAATACGAATAAGAAAATTTATCTAATAAAAAATTAAAAAAAAATATATAAATTAAAAATTTTAGTTTCTTTTAATTCAATCGGTAGTGACTAACGATTAAAAATTAACCATTAAAATGTAATAGCGATTAACGATTAAAACTAATTAATTAATCGTTATTCGACGCTTGTGATTACGATTAATTAATTTTAATCATTAGTCGTTAATTCAATTAAAAAAATATCTGACTAAATGGTCTAGTTTGTCCGAATTTGAAACCAAACACCCGTTATAGTTATTCTTTTGGGTTTCACGCTTATAAAACAGATAATACATATATAAAATTATAATTATTTTTATTATTAGTACTACATAAACTGGAAAATTTTTACAACCCAACGCACATGTGCACAGAGATATTAAAACCTAGTTTACATAACGTCTGTTGGTAATAGATCACAATCAAAATGCACACCAAATGGCTTAGATTGGGGAGGAAAACGATCTTAGCCATACCCGATTAACTGGCCTTGTGTCTACAAGAAAATTCCAACATAAATTAATTAATCACCAAACCTACTTAATCAAATTAAGGGTTAATGATTAAAAATAATATTTTTTTTATAATCACGGCTACGATTAACTGTTTAATCAGATTTAATAAAATTATGATTAACTGGAATCGGATTGAATTTAATCGAATTAACTAATTGATGAAAAAGTCAATCGATTAGTGCCAACACTGATTGGTAGTTTAAGCTCCCGTCTCGACTTTAAAAGCTAAAGGTAAAATTAAAGGACGAAAAATCTTCGAAAAGAAAATGCCATTAAACTCTTGAAATTCTATGGAATGTGGATATTCATGCCATATGCTAAAAAGTTGAATGTATTTTTTTATTGAAAATTACTACTATTTATAAATGGGAACGTTTTGAGAGTGAGTGTGTGAGTAAGTTTGTTGCTCTTTCAGGCAAGACCACTGGACGAATTTAGATAAAATTTGACACGGAAATAGCCGACGGCCCTGTAGAAAAGGCACTTTAAACGAAATTTTACAATTTTAATGTCAAACGAAACAGTTTTAAGAATAATTTTGCTTCATTTCTGAACGTATGGAACAAACTTTTTTGTTTACTTTTTCTTTAAAACGATCCTGATAATATGTTGCCGTATAAATATTAATAACACGTTATATTTATTCAATTGTGAGGTGGGATTATCTGGAATGTATAAAAAAACTTTACTTTTTTTACGTGTATATTCAAGAGGCACCGAATATCCGATAAAGCCCGTATAAGATAAAATATTGTAATAAAGATGGAATCCATCTGATTCTTATGAAGTTTGGCTTTGCTTCAAAGACGCAGAATTACTACCAACATTTTGCGAAATACTTGAAGGAAATTGATATGAGAAGCTTTTTCCTCTCCTTTAACTTAGCAACTTTTCATCTAAGTTAGCGATATTTATTTTATTGTACACTCACTCAAATTACACGCTTTAAATACAATCATGTCGCAATTTTCTCGACGAATATGCATCGCATGAATCCAACTTAGGGTAATTATAAAAAGCACAAAGCAGCTCGCATTCACCAACATCTGAATATGCTCTGTCCAACCTACATTTATACGTATGTATGTATGTTTTACTGGCAGGTTCCATAATTACCGATTCATCAGCGTGCATGTCGCTTAATCTTAATTACCATTAGCTAGTTTTCATTGCCTATTGTGCGTGCATGCATACTTACGTACCTAAGTACATACACTTGTGATCAGCTAATTAAGCCAGCAACATTTTGATCAATTTTGGCTATTTTGCTTTGGTTTATTTAATGTTTATTATTTTTCCATAAAAGTCTAGCTCATTATACAACAAACACCATATAAATCCAGATTTAAAACTTTGTGCAAAAATTATGAAAAATCTCCAAAGTTTCTGCTAAATTTTCATAAATTCGAAAATTTTTTTTGTATGGAAAAAAATGCGTCATGAATTCAGAAAAAAAAAATATTAAAAATCAACACGATTTTTTAGCAACTTAAGACTTGCACATTATTGGCCTAGAATTTAATGGGTTATTAAACTGCATACTCAAAAAAATTCTAAAAAATCTGAATAAAAAGTTGAAAATCTAGCTGAAACTTTGCAGTTTTTTCATAATTCTTGCACAGAGTTTGAAATCTAGATTTACGTGGTGTTTGTTATATAATGCGCTAGACTTTTATGGAAAAATAGCCAAAATTGATCAAAATGTTGCTGGCTTAATTAGCTGATCACAAGTGTATATACAACATACTTGTACACGCCCGCATATCATTGTGTTACACTTTTCCTCGGAACGGAAACACTGAATGTCAAATTTCAATTCAAACATTTATTGAGTTGAGCTGCTGAACTCAAGCGAACAACAACAGCGACTGTCGTGCAGAAAAAAGTGCAAACTAGTCGGTAAATGTACCAGTGCCGGTATATTTGCAATGGAGACCAGAATAACACTAGACGCAACAAAAACTAACGGTACTTGAGATTTCGTAAACCGACCTTCTTCAGTTTTCAATCTTGAGTGAAGTTGGTTTTGTATTGTTTTCGGGGAATAAGTACGAGGAAAATAAAAAAAACCTTGAAAACCAAAAACCAC